ACCTGGGAATTTTTTAATTGGATAATGGAAAAATTTTGTTGAATTGTCATTTTAATAGTTTCTTATTTTAATTTAGTCGGTAATTGTTTAATTCATTTAATTCTGTTTGTTATACCTATTTAGTTTGTGTCATAAAGGGAAAACTTAATAAATTTAATGAACGAAGAGAAGGGCCCATAGATCATATTGTTTAAATATTTTACGTTACATAAACAGCACAATATCTGAAACCCTTAATCTGCGGACCTATGTTCTTGGTTTCTTCCAATTACGTGGATAAAAATTCTCCCTTTTTTTAACTAGAACAAACAAGCAACTGTTTAGTACATGCGACAATTTTAAAACACAAATTAAAGTTTAAAAAGAAATTCAGATGTAACACATAAATTTTTAAAAATTGCAAAAATTCAATGTTGTTAGGTTTAAAATTAATCTATTAAATTTCGCGAATCTAACCACACAAAATTAGACCTTAAGTCAAATCAGGAACAAAAATTGAGTTTTGCAAAACCCTTCAATCCATAATCATAAGTTTAATTAGGGGCTGAAATTCATCTAATCGATGAATGCGCTTGCAACTCCAAAAGTCTTCATGTGTCCAATAGTCCAGGGAATAGAGGGTTTTAACTTGCAAAATGAGAAGTAGTTCCAATTTCTTTTGCATGTCATAGACAGTCATCTGGTGGTTAAGAATCTAAGTTTTCGACCTCCCAACCCTTGTGCTTCCCTCGTACCATCCCCAAAACCCCTGAAATTTGGTTGGTTTCTTAGTTTTTCAATCACGTCTTTTTAATGGTTCACTTTAGAAAAAAATATTGTTATCAGAAATTGTAGACCATAAAATTCTAGAGAACTTTGATATACACTACTTTTTTGTGAAATGTTTATTAAAAAAGATATAGAGCTTGAGAGTTGGTTATATTTTGAAGAATTCTGAAATTTCTATGTAGATGTTTTAACCAAATTTCATACTTTATCTCTATAATTAAGAGTTTTATGAGAAAATATCTTGAATTTATCGTGGTATAAATCCCTCTACCCTGCACCCTTACCAAAGGGGATGCATAATAATGAAACTTGCAACCCTTGCTAGTGAGGATACTTGAATTACTGTGAGATTATAGCCCTTTCTAATATACTTTTGAAATGAAAAAATTGTCACACTTCAGTTCAGTTTAACCCAGTTTATAGTCTACAATTTCTGATAACAATATTTTTTTGTAAAATGAACTTATAAAAAGATATGATTGAAAAACTAAAAAACCAACCAAATTTCTTTGGTTTTAAGGGTGGTACGGGGGAAGCACAGGGGGTGGGAGGTCGAAAACTTGGATTCTTAACCACCAGATATTCTTTCATGACATGCAAAAAAAATTGGAACTACTTCTCGTTTTGCAGGAAATGGTCCATTTTCAGTCTCTATTTCCTGGACTACAAGTCTACAGTTCGATTCCCTTTTGAATGGAATTGAAATCGTTTAAACATCTATACAGTACGTCCTAAATTGAGTGAGATTGCATGGGTAACCATTTTATTCTTGGAGATAGAGATTAGGTTAAACCCGAACAGCTTTATGCACTGATTAAAATTCTGTTTAGGAAAACTTAAAATTCAAACCCCATTAATAGTTCTTTATTATACAATGCGATAAAGGGAAGTTCAGTTAGTTTCCCTTTATCGGCGTGTATAGTATAAAACTTCATTTTATAACAGAAGCCATAGAAGTCATTACAAAACTTCTGAAAATTCTGTAAGTATTTAATTTGGACATCCAAACACGCTTAGGTTCTTCCGTGGTTTCCATGGAAACAATATTGCATTCTGTTCAGAATTTCATTTTGTATCGTGTTCCGCGTCCCATTTTTAATAAGACAGATGGTATTTGTTTCAGATTATTTACCCTTGCCGTTAAAATACCCTTACGATTAAAGACACTTAGTTTACTAATTCGTACCTATTAAAATGTCAATTTAACATAGTTATTTATTTACTTAGAAAATAACTAAACACCTCAGATTGTTATAAAATTCAAAAATGAAATTTCTAATATCTCTTTTCACCGATGTACCAATCACAAAACGTAAAATACTATTATTACTATTAAAGTTTATTTTTCAATTTTTGATTAAGTGGGGGGCTTGGTTAATCTTATAATCAATTTCATTATTTTTTTCAATTATTTTATGTAAAGAAGGCACTGGGATTAAGTCATTTTCTTTGTAAGTGAAGCCGTTGAAAAATACACAAAACAGATGAAAAGGAATCAAAAGGACTTTTGAACTTTGCACCCTTTTTGTGAAACCCGAAGATCCAAATCCATAAGAAATCAATACAAAGGGTGAGTTTTTTTAGGAACAGTATGGAGATTTCGGAAAGTATAAGAAATACGAATTAGGTTAAATGGGGAAAGATTGGAGTTTTATTGCCTCACTCAGAACAACCTTTGTTTTTCCCAAAATATCCATAGTTTGCAACATATTGTGAAAAAAGTAGTTCGATTATTATTAATGCTCCATAAAAGTGTGAATACAAAAATTAAAGTAAATTGAATTCTCAATAATATTGCCTACTTTAATTTGTGAAAATATTTATAATCCAATTTTTTTTGGTGCCTCGAAAAAAGGCAGTGTAAAACCTTCCTTTTTTTCCAAAAATCGACTGCACCAAAATTTCTCGGGAAAACACTTTTTCCTCGACTTTTTCTTATTAATTTTGGTGCGTAGAATCCAAAACAATTCGCACTTTTTCGATTAGAATTCTCAATCAAAAGTTATAGACTAGAAACCAATTTCGAAAGATAATTCAAAGGGCTGTAACTTTTGAACTAGTAGCCCAATCTTCAAACTGTTTGAAATTATGGATTCTACAGGCCACATTCTATAAGAAAAAATTTTTTTTCCGGTCGTTCTGAGACAATTTTTTTTTGGTGCCTCAAAAAAAGGCAGTGTACAACCTTCCTTTTTTTCCAAAAATCGACTGCACCAAAATTTCTCGGGAAAACACTTTTTCTTATTAATTTTGGTGCGTAGAATCCAAAACAATTTGTACATTTTAAGACTAGAAACCAATTTCGAAAGAAAATTCAAAGGGCTGTAACTTTTGAACTAGTAGCCCAATCTTCAAACTGTTTGAAATTATGGATTCTACAGGCCACATTCTACAAGAAAACACTTCTTCTTATTAATTTTGGTGCGCAGAATCCAAAACAATTCGTACTTTTTCGATTAGACTTCTCAATCAAAAGTTATAGACTAGAAACCAATTTCGAAAGAAAATTCAAAGGGCTGTAACTTTTGAATTAGTAGCCCAATCTTCAAACTGTTTGAAATTATGGATTCTACAGGCCACATTCTATAAGACAAAGTTTTTTTCCGGTCGCTCTGAGACAATTTTTTTTGGTGCCTCAAAAAAAGGCAGCAAACCTTTCTTTTTTTCCAAAAATCGACTGCACCAAAATTTCTCGGGAAAACACTTTTTCTTATTAATTTTGGTGCGTAGAATCCAAAACAATTTCTAATTTGTGAAAATATTTATAATCGGTCACAGAAACATATGTTTTTAGAAAATGTATAATAAAACGGAAAGCATAACAGATAGATATAGGGAATATAATAATTGATCGATGTAGAATTTTTTTCGACATTTGAAAATGCAAAAAAAATAAAGCAGGTTTTACTTGAAAAATCAACTTTTTTAAGGTCTGAAGTTAGTAAAATTTTAAAACACCCTGTAGAATCAATTAAATCAACATTTAAATCATTCTTACATAGCGTCAGTTGTATTATTGATATTGGAAGATAACAGGGCGAAAAAAAGCAGTCAAACGTAAAAAATCTTGAATAACTTGAAAACCTTTGTGGCTGGGTAATGGGTATAGGGAGATGTGGTATCAAATGACGTAGAATTTGATAGAGATTTCGAAAATTCAATGAAATACAGGGCGTTGCATTTAAAATAAGAAAGTTGCTATCCACATTTGGTAAAACCGGAAGTGAAACGATCATGATAAGATTTTCTTTTGATAGATCATGAAAAATTATGTTGATATGCAAATTTTCAGATTTACAACTAATTGCGTGAAACAGCCTGTATAAGTGGAAATAGTGAGGAGGACAAGGTGGCGATACCTGCCATTTAATTTTTCCCAAACGCAATTTCTTTTCCTGCAAAAGCCGCAAAGTGGCAATGTACGTTAAGGTTAGACAACCCACACTGTTTTAATTCCGTATGAAATATTCAAATCTAATTTGTTAATTAATGAATTTTACGTCGTAAAGAATATACCATGACGGTGGTTGTACACGTCCACCATTTAAATTTAAACATCCATATAAGTAATTTAGATTTATACCGTCATGACAAACAGCGTGTATAAATACTAATTAAACATAAGAGATTAATCTCTTAGTTGCTTCCACATATCCTTCACGCAGGGGTCGTTTCCCTTGTCAGTTGGACTTTACAAACTTAACGCCTCAGCACGAACCGCATTAACGCTCATTGTCCAGAAGCCCTATTTTTCATGCTTAGGTACAATATATATATTCGCCAGTTGCCGAATTTCACTTAGTCACCAAAAAGAAGCATTTGCACGGAGTACAAACAATTACCTAATAAACATTAGATAAATATAGGCGGCAGTAGGCGGTTATGTTTAATTTAAATTTTGGTAATGAGAATAATAATTAATACGAACACCGGCAAATATTATTCACCGCGTTTCGTGATAAACAGTAATTTATAAGGGGCTATTATGAATTCAGGCGTTGAATATTTTTTAGGGGATAACAAAACTCGCCTTATTTCAGACTAACGCTATAAGTAAAATGACCACTACAATCTGAAACTATTGAACGATACAAACGAAATACAAAGTCGTTGTTTTTTATATTTATTATAATTATAAGTAACTTGGCCGAACTAATATTTGTGCTCGAAAAATTAGATAACTGCAAAGGCAGAAAGAAAGGAAAGCTTATTTTGAATTTAAACACACTTACCCCCACGTTTCAGAACGCAATCGGCACACCTTTCGTTCCCTGGAACAAAAAAAGATATCAACAAATGACCAAATAATACATTTTTTTATATTTAAGAATGATAGGTAAAAAATAAGGGACATTAAATCCCTCTAATTAAGCAAGCAAACATTCACACACATTCAAGTTAAAATATACTATTATCTGCTCGTTGAACAGAAATAGTGAAGGCACTCCTCCAAAATTATCGCCACATTTAAATGCAACATGTTGGTCCAATTTTCAAATGCCAGTAACACACGGGAAATTTTACTTTCAATGTTTACTTGCATAAATTGTCGTTGATCTCATTTGGCAAATTGATATCGTAATGGACTTCCTAGTGCCTTTGATAATCATTCTGGGAAATGACTTGTCAGTCATCAGAATTCTGATTGGGGGTCGTGCAATCTTGAAATTATGATGAATCTTTCTTTATACTATACTACATACACATGATATTTTCAAAATTTGCGTTACTGTATAATGATATTGTAAGTGTATGTATTATATTTTGCATGTTATGTTTGGTGTTAATAATTAATTAAATGAGTTTCTGTGGTGTGATCACGACTGTGTTCATATGACTTTTTTTCCGCTTTTGATAGTTTTCTGGGTGTAAAACTGACTACCGCTTATATTGGACAAAATTTAATGGGAATGGATTGACTATTTCTGTTAAAACAAGAAATTAGAAATTTCTAATTAGTCTGACACTGTAACTTTATTCGAGTGCAGTTTGTATAGTTATAAAATGGAAATATCGAACAAACATGTACGTAACAAAATATGACGATAACATCTGACAAACGAGGTGAAGCGTTTTAAAATAAAAAAAAAGTCTTCATTTGCACAACCACTCCATGCATCGGTAATTGACGTTTATAAAATACATATCTACTACCTCGCAACGCTCAAAAGGGCGGGGGGTTAAATATCAAAAGCCGTATATTAATATGTAGGCTGCACGAGTAATTAATTTTCTGTTACAGAAAATGATAACATTTCTCTTTGAAAAGGTGAAAATATCAAACCACTGTTGACAACCAACATGAATACGTGAAAATTAATTATTAAACGGAGAAATTCGCTTTCACACTAATTGTCATTATTTTCAGTTAAAAATTACCTATGTCCGTCTTTTAACAAAAACGAAAAACAATAGGCTCTAGTTAGAAAGAATAATTGTGCAATATGACGTGCAGAAAAATCAGCATTCGTACTTCATCAATGATCGCCAAGTAGTTCCTGAACAAGATCGCGCGACCAGAAAAATCTCAGGTGATCCAGAACCAACCCAATCGGACAATCTGCATTTCCGCACAAACACTGGCGCTATCAAGAGAGGGGGCGAATGGGAACAAAGGTGTTCCCGGAAAATAATGGAAAGGGAAAAAGTGGAAAAACCCTGCAGTTGCACTAGGACACTAGGAATTATATCCGATCACGATAAGGGGTCGAGGAGGAGGACTATGGTTGGTAGAGATTGATTTCTTTCGTTGGAACCTTCCATTAGAGTACCCCCACCCCCAAATCTCCTCTTTTGATAAGGAGTGAGAAAGAAAGGTGAGAAAATTGGTAGAAAATAGTTCCTTTTGTTGAGACCTTCAATTAGAGTACTACGAAAGATACCATTAATCCCCCCCCCCACACACACACCCTGGTCACACTTTCATCTTTAAAGGTAAGTTATAATTGGTACAAACCAATTCATTTCGATGAGACCTTCATTAGAAGGGTAGTAGAACGTGCCTTCACCCCCCTCATTTTTAAAAGTTATTGACGTTTTACTTTCAAAAACGCATCTCAGGCAATAATTCATGAGCCCCCCCCCCCTTTTAATTCTTAAAAATGCCCTAAAAATGAGGCAAGTTTTCAATTTTCATTTTTAATTTTCTTAAAAATGCACCGATTTTGATGAAATTTTTAAAAGCGAAATCGCATCAATCCTAAGAAAAATAAAATTTCGTAGCTCGAAAACGGCGCCGGGGATCCTTTTCCTATTTCCTGAGATTCCTGAATGTTATGCAACTGTTGATTAATCCTTTGGTGAATCGGAGCCGGTGCTGGGTCTAGAAACACCGCCCCGGGTTGTCGCTGTCAAAATGAAGCTAGCTACTAAATTAGTACGTCTGGGGAAAAATAAGGGAAGATCTCGGCAAATGAAAACTAAACGGAAATAAATTAAACGTAATTCTGGTTTTCTAATCTGGGATGCATCTGGTTTCTGGTCGGTAAGAGGTGCAGGAATTAAGTTCCTGAAGTCGTAACAATCACACGTTTATAGGAACAAGGAGAGGCGCAAAACAGGTGGGAGATTGAGATGGGATTTTAAGTTCCAAATACGACAACAGGCGATATATAACGGGGGAATTTTACCGCACATAATACAGGATGTTTACAAAAAAAATTACCGTCCGTGTACATCGGATTTCCCTCAGCTCCCACTCCCCTGAGTGATTCCATTCAATACACCCAGGTTAGTTGACACTGGGAGTCAAATAATTTCAGAAGCCAATTCTCGAAGACCTAAAGAAGCAGGTCGAAGCGAATTCGTGTGGATTTTGTTTGACTTGAAAAAGGGATCGATAATGCAAACCTATGACTATTGGACAAAGAGCTGTTAAGTTAAGAGTAGCTTTCAATAGAAGTGAAATATCATAAATTGCATATGATTTCATAAATACGGCTTTCCGGAGCTCATATATCAAATGTGTCGTTAAAAATCTTTTACGCCCAGAAAAATTGAAAGTTTTTTTTAAAGAACGCAATTCGTAAAACGTTCAAAAAGTTTTCGAAACGGCAGATGGTTTCCTTCAAGTTTTCGGTTTATATCTATCTAAAGCACAAAATTTACAAAGTTTTAACGGTTCTCCAACGTTATGTGTTTATTCAGAGGCGTATATTATGTTTATAGGAGAGACTTGTTTAATTTTTGTTATAACGTGTAAGGATGAAGTAACAGAAACAACAAACAAAAAGGAATCGATAATAATTTATTATGAAGTGAATGGGAAAGTACATAAAAGTAAACGCAAATATTTATTTTCGATAATATTTGCTAGCAGCAATTTACTGCTTACCCACCCCGATGGAAACATTTAATTTTTCTATCCACGCACGCACGGTTCGCATTTTCGTTTTCGTAATTAATCGTCGGCGAGCTTTGATTTATTGGAAAATGAAATCCAGCGCAAAGATTATGCCGCATTTTATATCTATTTTTTACACACACCAAAACACGGACATCAACTCGGTATGTAAGGAAAAGCCCGAGGGAAATATCTCCAAAAGCCGTTTTTATCTGATTTAAATTTAGAAAGCAGTATCGTGTTTCAGTATAATCTTTGACTTATTTGCTAGGTTTCCCTCAGACAATAAAACACCTTCCCTTTCAAACACTTCCAGACTTGCCCAACTCCCAAATATCGGAGCGTTTATTATTCATTGAAATCGCCCAATACAATAGGTACAGATTTTGAAAAGTCGAACGCGTGCGTTGGTTAAATAAATTCAATAGAATTCGAATTGCAATAAATGTCATCACGGTTAGTTTCCGGCCTTTTCGCGCTATAGTTTCAATGCCTTCTGCCAAAGAACAATGGCGCTGGGCGAGAAAAAATTGGGCCGCCGGAAGTGAAGCGAACAATAAATTAAACAACATTGTGATTAGCTCAAATATTTTTATCAAGACATTCGGCGTTTTGTTCGCGTCCCTGTTGCGAGGGGGAGCACAATACTGGATTAATTATGTTAAACACGGCCCTATTGTGCCCCGATTGGAGCGAGAGAAATGCAGAAACAATTAGTTCATTTATCAAATGCAATAAAAATTGTTTGTTGTAGTCTGGGCTGACGTATTTAAAACAAACAATTAATATGTTTTTTATGATTAAAACCTGCAGCCCTGTTTTAAACATATCGGTACATAACTAAAATCTATGCACCCATCAGGGCTGAATAGATGAATATTCCCATAGCCACTCAATAAATGACCTATTTAATTAGGAAGATTCGGAACCACTGAAATGTGGGGCCACCCTGTATATGTGCGAATGTTTTTTAGAGGATTTCATTACAAATGAGGACATAATTGGTTTATTTCACCAGAATTTGTTATTTTTGTCTATTTTTCCATTTTAGAATTGTTTTTAATTTAATTTAATTTAAATGTCAAAATAGCGATTGATAAAAAATTAGATAACCACCCCATCGATTTTTGAAAGTAAAACATTTATAAAATTTATACAGCATCTATTACAACATTGGTCCTAAACATTTTTTCAATTTTTTTCAATTGCGATTATTTTATTTATTCTAAAATTTGTAATAAAACACGTTCTATATTCAAAATCAGTAGTTTTTGAGAAAAACAAAAATCTCTTTTATGACTGAAAATAAGGTTTGGGGCTTGTGTCAATGAAAAAATATATAATGCTTATATAGAGCGTACTCGGAAATGATGTAAAAATAAGGAAACCAAAATATGCATTTCTTCTAAAAACATAAAGGGTTGAACTAGAAAAAATGATAAACAAACACCATTTTAAAATTAATATAACAGAGAAAAAAAGAAAAATCTTTAATTAAAAACGAAATGAATAGAAATTGAAACATGAAATGAATAAGCCGCGAAATAAGCGAAAGTGCTGTTACGCAAAGGAAATGAGTAAATAAATCAAACTGTCAGTTCAATCAGACCCATTAAAACGTAATGACAACAAACGCTGATAGAATAATAAATAACACCCTTTAAAAATATATTTGATGATACTTACTCGTAAATATAGAGCAAACGTATAATTTATAAATCAACCTTAGTATGTGTGTGCGCAGTTCGTCCATTAATCAAATACAAATTCCAAATGAATTTAGGGTTTAAATTGATGTAAAAGTTGTTGGCGCCGTGTATTGTGTTATTCGACCATAGATATAGACATTACCGAATTGCGTAACAAACTGTACCTGCCCTTTTAACTTCAGTGTCTTAAATCGATAGCACCTTAAAACCCTTTCCAAGT